ATCTGCCTGCATGCCACCATGCTCCCAACCATGATAATAATGGACTAAATCTCTGAAACTGTAAGCCAGCCCCAATTAAATGTTTTCCTTTATAAGAGTTGCCATGATCATGGTGTCTCTTCACAGCAATAAAACCCTAACTAAGATAAGACATTTGTACACCAGTGTTCAAAACAGCCAGAAGGCGCAAAAAACCTAAGTGTCTTTTAACCCATGTATGGAATGGATAAACAAAATGTGGTATATCCATCCACACAAGGAAATATTACTCAGCCATAAATAGGAACAGAATTCTGACACATGCTACAACATTGGTCAACACATTATTAGGGTAAGATAAACCAGTCACAGGAGGACTGGCAGTGCATGATTCCACATACATGAGGCTCCTGGCACTTTCAGAGACAGGAAAAAGAGCTTAAGATCTAGGGGCTGTGAGAAAGGCAATAGGGTAGTTGTTCAGTGGATGTAGATCTATTTGGGATGCTAAAAAAAGGTCTGCAGGGGATAGTGGTGATTGTATTGCACCGTGGATGTATTAAATACCATTGAGCTATGCACTTAAAAGTTATTAAAATGATAAATTAGTTTTAATTTACAATTAAAAAATAAAAATGAGAAAGAAGAATAGATAACATCTTAGAGAAAGTGGGAGGAAATGCTGTTGAATATGGGTGAGACAAAGGCAAAATTTTTATATTCTAGCAGCTCTTGTTATTTATCAATCAATCTATCATCTATCTATGTATCTATTGTTTATCCTATCTATCTATCTATCTATCTATCTATCTACCTACCTATATGAATATTTATCATCTACCTATTTGCAGTCAATCATCTAATTATTTATAATCAATCTACCGATCATCTACATATATCTACTATCTATCTATCTACCTACCTATCTTCTGTCTACCTACCTATCTTCTATCTATCTATCTATCTATCTATCTATCTATCTATCTATCTATCTATCTATCCATCCATCTCTCCATCGAGTTTGTGGCAGGACGGAGAGCTGGCTTTCAGTATGTGTTCTGGCCAGAGATGATGGTGAGGATGGTAACCGTTTCCACAACATTTTGTTATAACAAAGCAGGGAGTCCTCTGATAAGCCCAGAGTCTTTTGCAGGATCTGTTCCTCTTTGGGGAGGCAGATCTGGACTTTCAGGAGCAGCTATTCAAGTCACTGCCAGCTTTCTCTTTCACATTCCAACCCCAGTGATTGGGCAAATACACACAGAGACAAAGTGTCTGATCCTGTGCCATATAAAAGCCAAATGATTTCAGAATGAAGATGTGTTGAGCAATGTGCTATTATTTACAGGCATGAAGACCAAAGAACAGCTGATTAGCATGGGCACTGAAATAAATACTTCTACTTTTAGCACATTCATAAAATAACACCATTTCAGCTGGTCTGTCTGCCGAGAGTGGGAGTGTTCACTTGGGCAGACAGCTCTCCCCAGTCAGTAATGAAATGTTTTGATTTGAAATGTAAATGTTTCTTTCCAGAGGTTTCGGAAATGTAGCTCTGAAGGTTAATTTGCTCTTGCCCACTCCCTCTGCAGCTGGGTCATGCGGTTGGAAGCCTCTGCACACGGCTGCCATTCACTGCCACTAGCACAGGCTGTGTGTTTGGTTAAGGAAACTGGCCTGCTCATTCTTTCTAGAGAAAACTGACCCCTGGCTGCTGAACATAAAAGAGGCTTTATCAGACGCGGACTCTATAAAACAAACTTTCTGGTAAGGCTCTTTGCAGGGAGCAGTATATCCGACTACCTCAAATCTGGTAGATATTAATGAGTGAAGACTGGCCCACTGTATGTGTGAAATTCTGAGGTTGCTATGGCATTCCTGTAAAACGTTCACTGCTGCCAACTAAACAAAACAGAAACCCCCACACCAGTTCTTCATCTGCCGGTTATTTCTGTTCTAGTGAGGACTCTCTGTTACTGTGATAAAACATTGACCAAAACCACCTCAGGGGAGGAAAGGGCTGATTTCATCTTAACAGCTCCCTAGGTCACAGTCTAACACTGAGGGAAGCGTGGGCAGGAACTCGAGGCAGGAACCTGGAGGCAGGATCTGAAGCAGTGACCATGGAGGAACACTGTTTCCTGGCTTTCTTTCATGCTGCCAAAACCAGTATCACGTGGGAGGCTCTTACGCATTACCAAGTTTGGCTACCAGCTTGAGATGCAGCCTTGGTCCCTCTGGACCATGGCTTCTGTGTGCTGACCCTGAGGAAACACTCCCCAGGAGGGGTCTCAGAGATGTTGGTCTCTGATGTTAATCACAGTTGATTTTTCAGTCCCAGCTAACCAGGATCAATTATCTCAGGAAAGCAAAGGTTTGTTTCAGTGGTGCTGGTCTACTCATAACCACAGTTGATTATTCAGTCCCAGCTAACCAGAAACCACGTTCAAATATTCAAAATGTCAACCAAATGGTCCAATAGTCCTTGAGGGACTCTCAATCTTCCCGGTGAACTTCACAAGCCAGGCCCCATCATCTGCACACCTCTCCTTAACGTTGCTGTCTTCCAGGCTCCCATAAGAGCCTCATGAGCTCTGAGCACCCAGTGGCCTTCTCTAGCCCAAACCTCCCAAATTCTTCCATAATTCTCCCAAAACAATATGGTCATGTCCATCACCACCATATCACACTCTCTGGAACCAATTTCTGTCCTGGTTTGGTTTCTGTGGCTGTGATAAGCACCATGACCAAAAGCACCTTGGGGAGGACAGGGTTTATTTGGTTTATAGGTTATAGTCTATCATCCAGAGAAGTCAAGGCAGGAACTGAAGCAGAGAACAGTGGAACGCTGCCTACTGGCTTGTTCTCCAGGGCTTGCTCAGATTACTTTCATATGCACAACGGAGGACCACCTGCCCAGAGGTATCACCACTCCCAGTGGGATGGGCCCTCCCACATCACTAATCAAAACCAACAACAACAAAAAGCCCTACAGACAAGATCACAGGCCGCTCGACGGAGGCGATTCCTCAGTTGGGGTTTTCCCTTCCATGGGGAGTCCAGTTATTTCAAGTTACAAACCCTAGCTAGCCTAATAATTCTTGGAAGTAAGCGAATTCATATGTTTTTATTTCTAAGTTACATTATTATTTACTATGTGTATATGTGTATACCATGGCACAGGTGTGGCAGTCAGAGGACAGCCTGTGGCAGTCAGTTCTCTCTGTCATGTGGGTCCTAGGAACCGAGTCAAGTTGTTCAGGTTTAGCAGGGAGCACCTTTACCTGCTGAACCACCTCACCGGTCTTAAACATTCGTATTCTTGTGCGTAGTCCTGGGGTAAACTTCAGAAAAGACAGTGTCCCTGAGACAATGCTAGGAAGCCAGAAGCCACTGTGCAACCCGGTGGCCCCTAGGTCTGTGGAATTCCTGGACAAGTCTTCATGGCTGTCTCTGTTTTACTCAGCCTTAGGAAACCACTCACTCACCTGGACAGAGGTTTTAGCAGGAGAAGCTGCTGCAGGGACTCAGCATGCCTGCCAGCCTGTTCTGGGTGCAGCAGAGGACGGAGGAGCAGAGCAGAGCCCTGCCTTCATCAGTTCTAGGCTGGGCTAAAATAACTACAGCGGCCTTACTGACATTTTGGCTCAACAGGTTAGAACTACAGATTTGTGGGATAGCTCAACACCTATGCTATATCCCAAGACACTTGAGTTTCTCACTCCTTTACACTGTTAGATGTAATTGGAACCACTGGGCTTGAATCTGAGTCAGGGAAACCAGTGGTCCATGGGCCATATTTCACTAGTATACCGAGAAGCCAGGAGACTGGGAGCAAGAAGCACCCAGTTGATAATTTTTCTAAAAAGTAGGGAAGTTTACCCACGCGGGAATCTAAATGTATACTTAATGATAATTGTAGCTAAAGGTTGCTCATCCAGGCGGAGGGGACATGTTTCCAGTTTACTTAGGTTCCCTACGTTCTGTTGCCTCGGATTATTTTGCTCATTACTGCTCTCTTCATTGCTTCTGTGGACATAGGAACCTGGGAGCTCAAACTGCACAAACGTCTTCTGTGAATGGTGAGGTCATCGACAGTGACGGGTGGGGAAGACCGGGCCAGGCTGAGCCCTTGCTCTCCTGGAGTGGGGTGAGGAAAAGGCACCACTGCTTGTGGTAAGTAAGGCCCTGCAGGGGTGGATATTCTAGCTGTCTGATGTCCCAGAGCCAGAGGGGGATCTGTGAATGCTTACCATTGGACAAAGCAGCCCCACGGCCATCCCTGCTTTCCTGCTTTCCCATATTGACTAGGGGGACGCAGGGAGTACACTGGGTGTGTAAGCATGGCGTTGTCCACCGACTCAGTAATGTGGATCTGAGCGCCCCACTTTCCAGTACACTGCAGTGAATCAGGATCTTGGCCCATTTGGTCTGGTGTACTAGCTCCAGAGAAGTCCAGAGATCACATCTTCACGTGGTTCTTGGGAGGGGGAGCTTTATATCCATAATGATTCTACTTTATAAATGTGAGTCATTTAGTTTACATTCTTTAGCAAAATCTAAATAAATGAAATAAAGTACAGAGGGACACAGATGTGTACGAAATGTGCAATTTCCCCAAACGACCCAAATACAAACTTGCAATAGTTTCAACTGAAGAGCTATGCTTGTATTCCACAAAACAGTAGGAATCTGTGATGATCTAGGATGGAAAATTACGTCGGTGGTCCTTTTGGAACGACTTTGCACCGTCTTTTAGGGAACTCCCGAAACAGCAGAAATATGGGGAAGGGAGGGTTCCCAAGATCAAGTCAGTTTGGCGGTTTGCATCTTGGATTTTTCATAAAGGATCCTTTTAGTTTTGCCACATGGACAATCATAAAGGCACGGGGGCCAGGCTACTTTTGTACTGAGGGTCCTCTAGTGGCCGAAAGGGGTGTTGCAAGGTCACTAGCAGCCCCGGTATCGGTCCCCTCTGGCTCTGTGCTTCGCAGGCATGAAGGCCGTGCTGCGCATCTTACCTGGGGCAGCGTCCCTTTCACCAGGGAAGGGATGTCATTCTTGGAGTAACCGAGGGCAGAGAGACCGTCATCCACATTTAGATCGAACAGGAATTGTCGGAGGGTGTCTGCCAACACAGGCCCGGCATCTTGGGTCCTGGCAGTGCGGATATCCGCTCCTAGAATAAAAGTGCAGGCCATAAGAAGACAGGGAAGCACCTTCCAGGTGTGTCTCAGTCACAGCATCACTGAATATGTGAATTGTACCTAACGCCACCTTCTAATACCGAGGTCCGGGGCACTGCTAGGATTCCCTGGGATGTCTCTGTGGTCAGTGGTCAAGCCCACAGAGGACACATTGGCAAGACCAGGCTGAGGAGCCAACAGTTCTTTAAGACGAGCTGCCTGGGGCACCCAGCTCTCACAGTTTGAGGGGACTTGTGATTTGTCCTGGTCCACCCTCTGTGTGGTAGGGGAGCAGAGTGACAGAGGGCAGGGAAGACGCCTGGCGTGTTTGTAGGGGCACAGCTTATGAGGCTTTCAAGACTTGGTATTTACTGACATCTAGAGGTGTGCGCGGTCAATGTCTTCTAACAGCAACACAGAAAAACGCGAGGCTTTTGCAAACAGCTTGAGGCAAGGATGTAGAGTTCAAACGCCACATATTGACCACCAAAAGGAAGAAAATACGACGATAAAACTCTGTTACGTGTGACTGGGAAAGGAAAGGTTTCCTCTTTATACCTAAAAATTTAATTTTTTTTTTTATGTCTATGTTGCCAAAGGATAGGGGATGTTCCTCTTAGAAAATGTCTCTGCGTGAGCTGAGTAGAACAAAGCCGTGAAGACTCAGGAAACAGTGCTCCTGTGAAGATATCTATGTGAAGAAGGTAGCCAAGGCTTGGAGATTTTTTTTTTTTTTTGGTTTTTCGAGACAGGGTTTCTCTGTGTAGCTTTGCGCCTTTCCTGGAACTCGCTTTGGAGACCAGACTGGCCTCGAACTCACAGAGATCCGCCTGGCTCTGCCTCCCGAGTGCTGGGATTAAAGGCGTGCGCCACCACCGCCCGGCGAGGCTTGGAGATTTTTAAGGACAGAAGTTTAAAGACTCACAGCACAAACAATAACAGAGATATCAGTGTAGAAGGGCATGTTCTTAGGCAGGGAGTGTGAAACTTCCCAGGGGAAAGGAACAGCTTTCCCACCCCTTAGCACCTGCCCTGCCTCCCAGGTAGCTAAGGGGAACACCTGTGTAGCCCACGAGGCTAGCACTCTGCAAACGGGTCGCGCTGGATAACGCATAAACAAATGCCTGCAAAGGAGAGGAGCCGGCTCCTCGCTCCTGGCTCCTCGCTGCAGCACAGTGCAAGTCAGACTAAGCCTCTTCCTTCTGTGAGGGTCGGGGCAGCTTTAGATCCAGGAAAGGTAAACAGAACCAGATACAGGGCCAGACTGAGAACAACAGGATGAAAGGTAAACCAGGCAAGAGCCGCCTGCAATACCCAGCGGCAGCTGAGAGCGGATTAGGTGAGAGGCGTGACACAGGATATGGGGTTACGGTTTTATGATCCTGGGATAGCTGCCACTGAACACACTGTACAAACTTCTATGCTTTCCTACGAAGCATTTTTTAGGGGGGGAAAAAAGATATGAAAGAAACTGAACCGGTCTAGCTAAGAAAAAAAAAAAACCCAAGCTTTCATAGAGATTTAACATCATTAACTGGCAATATGGGATAATATTGAAATTCCTAAACAATTAGGAAGAACTGCAGTGTTCTTCACTCAGTTTTGTTTAACCGAGGATCTGCCTTCTCATAATGTCTGTGCTACCTGGAACACGCCCTGTAAATTCACTAAGGTTTCCCCATTTACCGTAGATCTAGCCTACAGTTTGGGGACCCCCCCCCTTTAAATTTTACCATCCTCATATTTACAAAGGCCACAGCTATATCCCTCATGACTGAACATTCCCGTCCCTAAGGGGATAAGGGTTACAGGCCCCCGGTAAATCTGCCAATGTGCTCACACAGTACACACTGTAAACTGAAGCCTGGGTTTGGCTCCAAGTCCTGGACATTAACATTCTCAGCACAGCACCTGGAGCTGCAGGGCACACAAAAGGGCTGGTGTGAGAGGGAGGGCCAGGGCAGCAGCCTGTGGGAGGATGTCTGCGGTCGTTCCTGCCTCCTTGGGAATAATCTTTCCAACGGCTCAAGCTACAAGGGCATAATGAAGAATCAAGTTTTCATTGCGACCTTTCTCTTCCCACCCACCCTAAACACAAGGAGGGAAATAAGACGTTCTACAAGTTAATCAAGTTCTCCAAGTCACCTAAAAATAGAGCTCTTTTTCAGAAAAATACGAAGATTTTTTTTCTTCACCTCGTACTATGGCTACCCAGAATGTAATTTTATTTCTGTAAGAGTCAAAAGGCACAGTGGGCATCTCATTAGAGCGATTACTTATTCGGCAGTATGGCAAATAGATTGCTCATTTGGAATTGCTTTTGTTCCCTGTTTAGCTTCTCTGTGGTTGGGGGTTACTGCTGCTTTCTTGATTCATTTTATCAGTGACTCAGCATAGCAAAAGTCAGTGAAGACATAACTTGCGTGCCAAGCAATACTTCCTATGGCAGTGAGAGCAGAGCAAATAGCGTCAGGACACGATAGTGTCAGTATTAGGTTCCATTTCATTACAGATCCTTAGAAGCCTAAAATTATGGTATTTAAATGCTGTCCAGGGCTTTAAGCCAGTTGTTAGCGTTTTATCACTGGGCTGCTCCAAGCGACAGCTTTTGTTATTGTTCCTGGGAAACACTCTGTTGTGGAATATTTGTTTAACTATGTGAAGATGTGTTGTATTTGTTTAACTATGTAAAGATGTGTTGCTGTTTTACCTTGCCTGCCCAAGGCACCTGATTGGTCTAATAAAAAGCTGAATGGACCAATAGTGAGGGAGGAGGTATAGGTGGAACTTCTGGGCAGGGAGAGTAAGTGGGAGGAGGAATTTAGGCTTGAGGAAGAAAGAAAAGGAGACGACAGGAAGACGCCAGGGACCAGCAAGACACGGAAGAAGCAGGAAAGTAGGACATAACAGAATGAAAGAAAGGTAAAAAGCCCCAAGGCAAAATGTAGATGAATAGAAACAGATTAAATTAAATTAAAAGAGCTAGTGGGACAAGCCTAAGCTAAGGCTGAGCATTCATAATTACTAATAAGTCTCCATGTCTTTGGCGGCCCAAAGAAAATGCCAACTACAACACTCCATCTTGGAAGGCCACAGATTGGTGAGTAATGGTTCATACCTAATATCTCTGCTGTCTCCAGGTGCCGCTCTGGAAACATCTGAGCTGTGAAGGTGAACACTGCTGGAGATGTGAGCACCACAGAGAGGCCGTGGGGCTGGGGAGAGATGGACAGAAAAGCTTTCTTCCGTAATACTCTAGATATGACCAGAATACTCAGAACAGTCGAGAACTTGCAGTATGGGCTGGGGATGCAGCTTAGTGGCACAGTTCTTGCCAGTATGCATAAGGTCCTGAGTTCCATCCCAGCCCCGCCCCCACTAAAAAATACAATTATAGAAATTGTGACAATTATAAGATTTAGCTGAATGATTTATTATTAGATTTTTTACCACCAGAGGGTGATCCACGTTGTATTCCTTGGCTTTATATGTCTTCACTAAACCTGAAATCGGGTAAGACATGCCATGGCTGGAAGAGAAAAAAAAATCTGTTGACACACAGATGCCAGAAATAATAACATGGAAATTATTATGGGAGTGCCCCTCTTGTCTCTGGACTGCATTGTATTGTTACCTCACGGAGTTCTACATGATGCATTTTTTGGATGCAGGGATGTACTGTGATGTACTCCAAGTTTAGTGTATTCATTAACAAAAACCTCTGAAATGATCAGACTCCAGTGATCAGAGAGGTATATGCACTGGATAATGTGCAAGCTGGATCCACTTGCGATCCATTCTGCAAATAATTGACAGACTGTTCCAAATGTTGCATATTAATGGTGCTGAATTATAAAGGACTAGTCTAGCCTATGAAGCTGGGTTAACCAGTTCTATTTAACTGACTTTTCTTTGCCTGCATTTTACCTTTGCAGATCGGTGTGTGAGCACAGAGCAGGAGAGGATGTTGGGCGTTCTGCTCTGTGGTTCTTTTCTTCATTCCCTTGAGACAGGGTTTTGAACCTAGAGAGGTAGGCTGGAAGCATCAAGCCTCAGAGACTCCGCATCCCATAGTACTGGGGTATAGGTAGCTGTGGCATGCCCAGCTTTAGGTTTTTTTTGTGAGTGCTGGGATCCAAACTCATTTTCCAGCCCACAGTGGGTTTTGCTTTTGCCAGAAAATAGAAACTTTATATTCTCTTGAACTTCTAGTGAACAAATAGGAAAACACTATATTTTAATAGATAGTTCAGAATATAAATATTGTAACAAGTTCATATGTAATATTCACAATTAATATTGTAAAAGTGAAATGTTTAACATGAGCAAAAGGGTCTCATTCTTTTAGTATGGACTATGAACATTGGAGGATTGCATGCTTATTCAGCAAAAGATTTCATAAGAAGAAATATTTTGATGAATTACATGATTATTTTTCTAAAAGTTCTCAGACATCTTACATGAGACAAATTGGAAGCTCCTGCTTCTCTGAGTGATTGAATACATACTTTACTTTCTTGGAATCAGAAAATTACTGCTTAGTATGCTTTCAAGAAGTGTTAGGGTTCATGTAGCTTTCAAAGGCAACTTTATAGCAATACTTAACATTTTAATTGTTTTTAATAGTTGTCTACGTACAAAATAAAAATTATTCACATTATCTTTCCTTCTAGTCACTTTATGCATATATTTAATTTATAATCATATTGGATGTACAGTTTCTAGATTTTTTTCTTCCTTTATTTTTTACTTTGTGTGTTTTGCCTGCATGTATGTTTACGTACCCCCTGCCTGTAGTGCCCATAGAGGCCAGAAGAGAGCATTTGATCATCTGGAACTGGAGTTATAGAGAGCAGTAAACTGCCACGTGGGTGCTGAGAATTGAACCTGTGACATTTGGAAGAGCAGCTGCTGATCTCTAAACCGCTGAGCCTCTCTCCAGCCCCTGTGCACCTGTGCACCTGTGCATATCATTTTGTGCAATGCTTCTGTTGCTAATATTCTGTTTGTTTGTTTTAAGACAGTCTCGTGTAGCCCAGGCTGATCCTGACCTGTCTATGTACGGATGACTATATACATGTCTATGTAGGATGACTTTAAAATCCTCCTGCCTTTACTCATAGGTGCTAGGAGCACAAGCATGAACCCCTGTGCCTGGTGTTATATAATAATCTTTGCAAACATTTTCTTATATAAACCTACTTTAAATACTATTCTTAATGACATTATTTTATTATGTACTATATGTTAGTTAAGTATTAACTATTGAAAATCAAACATGCATCCAAAATTTTCAATTATACATTACACTTAGGTGAACATCTTTATAAAGAAATCCATTGCCCATATCATGGATATTTATTTAGGCTTGATTCCTAAGAGTGAAACAGTGGACCAAGGCAGATAAACATTTTCGGGCTCTCGTACATTTCATATACTTGCTTTGGGTATAACAGATTCATGCTTCTATACCACAGAGCTTGATGATCACCACTGCCTTGCACCCTAGCAAAACCCTATTCAATTCTCAATGTTCTGTTTTTCTATTTTAAAGCATTAAATCACTAAAGTTTCAGTCAAAGATTAATGAAGGGCTATTAACAAAGATTCTGATTGCTCCCTCTCTCCTTTGTATATGAGAGATCAAGGAAAAATCCTGCATTTGAAATTTTACAAATTACAATATATAGCAAGACACAGAAAAATGAGAACCCGCATCCACTGCTGGTGTGAATGGAAAATGGTATAGGCACTAAAAAAATTTAATACAAAATTGCCATAGATCCAGAAATCCCATTCATTTGTACCAAGTAAGAGAAATAAAAATGTGCACACAAAAACTTGTACAGAATATTACTTATAGCAACAAATGCCCACAAACTGATAACAAGTCAAATAAAATGTAGTATCTCAGTCAGGCAGTAGTGGTGCACGCCTTTAATCCCAGAAGTCAGGAGGCAGAGGCAGGGGGATCTCTGTGAGTTCGAGGACAGCCTAGTTTACAGAGTGAGTTCTAGGACAGCCAGAACTATACAGAGAAACTCTGTCTTGAAAAAGAAAAGAAAACGTGGCATCTCCATACAGTAGAATATTATTTGGTGGTAAAAAGAAGTGATGTAAGGTCCTAACAGTATCTAAATGGAGCATGGTAGATAGAGAGGACCATATGCTTTCATGTCTGTGATATGCCCCAAGTGGGGAATTCCACAGAGGTGGAAAGGTGCTCAGTGGTCTCGAAGCTTTGAGGGAGGTGTGGGCTTTGGTGAGCAGTAGCTAAGGATGTGGGGATTTTTTTTTTATGGAGGTAATAAAATATTCTAAATCTAAAGGTTGCAGGACTTTGTGCAGAGATTAGAAGTCACTGAATTATATATGTTTAAATGAGCAGACTGTATAGGATATGAATTGCATTTTTAAAGCTGTTATAAGAAATCCATGACCTAATAAACTGAATTCAAATTAAGAAAATATTTGGGAAACCTTAGATTTCTCCGGTGTATGGCATATTGAAAACTTGCCACTTGTCCTGAATTATATATATTAAAATTTAGAAGCAGTACCTCAAGTTAAGAAAATAAATTGTATGGTCACTTACCACAGATGAACACCAGCATTTCCAAAGCCGATGCCAGCGAAAGCGCTTGCCAAGTGCATACTAGACCTTGCTTCCAGATCATCAGGATTCCTGACAGCCCTGTGAATTAATTATATAAATACAGAGAGCAACACACCGCCATTGGCATTTTCTTCTGAATAAAGCGCTGCCTTAGGGAAAGGCGAGAAGGGGCCGTCACTCAGTAGGAAGACAGATTAGGCAGGTTACTCAAACAACTTCTTGTCTTCTCGATGAAAACTGAAGGCAAACATATTTTTCTTTTTTTTTTTTTTTTTTTTTTGGTTTTTCGAGACAGGGTTTCTCTGTGTAGCTTTGCGCCTTTCCTGGAACTCGCTTTGGAGACCAGGCTGGCCTCGAACTCACAGAGATCCGCCTGGCTCTGCCTCCCAAGTGCTGGGATTAAAGGCGTGAGCCACCACTGCCCGGCTGAGCCACCACTGCCCGGCTATTTTTCTTATCAACAGTTTTACCAAGGGCATAATAAATACGCTGTCAGCCCCTCGGCTGGTAGGAAGGTGCCAGGGACGCAAAGCCCTGACCTGGCGCTGTGACTGTTGCTCTAGGGAGGTGACCTGGGACTCCCTCTTCCTCATCTGTCAGCGATCCTGATGGTTGTGAACAAACTCAGAGTGAACACATTCTCAGAGTGTACCCAGAGCTGTCGCCCTAGGCTACCTGCGGGCCAAGCCAGCCTAGACATCTTTCTCTCCGTGACATTGATCCAAACTGAACTGTATGTTTTTTATTTTTGCCGTTTTGGGAGTCTGTTCCTATTTGTTCTTTCATAAATAATGGCTGTAAATATGTATACTTGTATATTTGTATTCTTTAAAAAATGTGAAGATTAGTCAGTTGTTAAAATATTTAATTTAAATTTTTGCTTCTAGATGTGAGGTCTTGTTGCATTGCCCAGGCTAGTCTCAAATTCCTACTCGAGTGACCCTGTGCCTCGTTTCCTCTGTAGTCAGGACTCCAGGTGTTGCTACTACACCCAGTTTCTACTGTGTTCTTCAATCTTTTAAAACCTCCCAGGAATCCTTTTACATTTTCTGTCTTTTCTGTCTCCTGAGTGGCTACATTTTTCTCTTGACTTTAATTCATGCGAGTTTTCCCAATGGGTGACTTCCGTGTGCCTTTGGGGTGTAGATGACGCAGCCAACACATGCCTGTGAGGCTCTCATTCCTGCTCAGTCTCAAAGACATTTTCCTCATCCCAGCTCCACTGTGGTGGCTGTTGTCCGAGTCTGACTTTGTAGCCCTGCCTGGTTTAGTACTGTGTAGCACAGACTGGCCTCGAACTCATGGCAATCCTCCTGTGTCAGACTCCTCTAAGTTCTGGAGTTACAGGTGTGTACCACCATGTCTGGCTAATTTGGGGGCTTTGGTGAGCAAACCTCTTTTTATTTTATCTGTCTCCTTTACATATCAGGAGCTTCAGCTGTCTTCCGAAACTGTTGCCTTTTTGAACTGGAGGGACCAGTTTTCACCTGGCTGTCCTCGGATCCCTGCAGAGGTCACTAGTGACTGCCCTGGTGAACAGACCATGTCACCATGTCCCCTCAGTGTGTCAGCATCAGACATGTCAGGTTTTACCAGAGAGCAGCTCATGACCTTCTGTTCCATCTCTTTCTCCTCAGGGTGACGTACCTCTTCAGATACTTGGCAACAATCCGCAGTGCGTGGACTGCCCAGATGTCACTGATTGGGTTGCTGCCCTGGTAGGCTGGTCGTTGGATGGGGTTGGCAGGGCAGGGGCTCCGCATGTTATAGGGAATGGCGGTGTACGACTCCAGAGCATGGCTGGAGGGAAAGGTTCAAAGTACACGGAATGAGCATTGCCTTTCTCGCGCTTCACCCCTTGCAAAGCTTATTATTATAACTACATTTAATTGGTTTTTGTTTGTTTGTTTTGGCTTTTCAAAACAGGATTTCTCTGTGTAGTCCTGGCTGTCCTGGAGCTCACTCTGTAGACTTGGCCTCAGACTCAGAGATTCGCCTGGCTCTGCCTCCCAAGTGCTGGGATTAAAGGTGTGCACCACCACCACCCGGCCATTTTAAATTCTTGACCTTAAAAAGTTGGAGTCTATTTTTAATGTGCCTTAAACTCAAGGTCGGCTCTTTGAATATTTCAGAGCTGCCCCCACCTGCTGGCCTGTGGCTCAGCTGCAGATACAACTAAAGCCATCTAGTTAATGATGCACGGCGGCCCCAGCAGAACACAAATGGTTTTTGCATGGTATAGTTCCCAGTGTTAGACAGAGGGTTCACTCTCTTCTCCTCCAGAAGCAGGAAAGGCACCTTTTGGACGAATCATTAGAAACTAAGGAAAAAATGCACTTGGTAGACGGACGCGGTGGTTTTGTAGTTCTCCACCGGGACTGCAGGAGATGAGCAAGAATCAACGGTGCATAGTGCAGGGACAGAGCAGCATTAGTGGTCGGATCTGAAATGTCCCCAAAGGGCCACGTGTTAAAGAAAAGAGGTTCCTAGCCAAAGGCCCTGTTGAGAAGTGGTAAAACTTTCATAGTAGGTGAGGCCCAGTAGAGGGAAATCAGGCCACCGGGGGTACGTTGAAAGGGGTAACAGGACCCCAGACTCTCTTTGGATTCTGACTGCCATGTGTTCTCGCCGTGATATAGTGTGCTACCACAGACTCAAAACAATAAGTGACTGTGGACATATCTAACCACGAGCCCAAACCACGCTTTCCTCCTTTTTTCAATTTTTAAAATGAGTTATTTATTTTTATTTTTTCCTGTGCATTGTTGTGTTGGTGTGAATGTGTCACACCCCTGGGAGCTGGAATTCTAGACAGTTGTGAGCTGCCATGTGGGTGCTGGAAATGGAACCTGGGTCCCCCGGAAAAGCAGCTAGTGCTCTTGACCACGGAGCCATCTCTCCAGCCCCTGCTTTTCTTCCTTTTTAAGGAGATTATTCTAGGTATTTTGTCAGAGTGATGGAAAGCTGGCTACCACAAGGAGGTCTGATTTCTTCCTCTACCCCACTCCCTCTTTAGATAGTGAGGTCTGGGTCTGAGGCATCCCCTTAGAGGTCATTGGTGGGCCATGGTAGATTTATGTACTTTCTGTCTGGGGAGGGTAACTTGATTTCCATTATCTCTAAGCAGCTGGGAGACATCTCATCAACTTTCTAATGTTGAACAGGGTAGACTTAGACAGTTTTCTAGGCGGTAGAACACAGTCAGGAACAGACCAGGCATTAGACAGATGAATGCCACTTCCGGCTCATTTGACAGCAGTCAGTACCTGTGACATGACAGTCACATGCCCTGGGGGTAGTGCCAGGGCCCAGAGTAAGGTGGCCCTGTCCTCACCAAGCTCATAGGACGGTGGGGGAGACAGGCAAAGGAAGGGCATGGTGGGAAAGCCAGGCTCACAAAGCAGGGCTCAGGGCAGTGTCTAGTGTGTTGACCAGATAGATCAGCAAGCACAGGATAGGACGAGAAGTAGAGCCAGGCTGTAACCCCCAAAGGTCTGCAGGCTCCACCTCCTCAAACTTGCATGACCTCTCAAGCCAGCATCCCCAGCTGAGGACCCAGTGTTCAAACACATGAGCCCGTGAGGGGCATTCCAGACTCACCCCACACCACAGACAGAGCTGTGGGTGCATGTTTTGGCATGTGTGCTGGTCATATTGCAGTCTGGGAGCGTGTGAGAGAGATGGAAAGACGATGGAATGGAGTTAGGGAAGCCCACAAGGAGGCTACGGCGATGGTCTGAGTAAGGGCCGACACTGACTTGAACCAAGGAAGAACAATGAAGCTCGAGAAGATAGACAGGTGTGAGAGTCAAGGGCACAAGCACCGGATCTGCCGAGGGTGGGCGTGACGAGAGAAGAGGAGCGTTTACACCAAGTCCTGCTCCTGAGGAGATGGTGGACGCCGGAGAAACGGTGATGATTAAGAGAACTGCCCCAGTTCACTGACTTTCATATGCCGCCAATTTGAAAAAGGTCCCGCTGAGTACATTATAACAAGCCGATGTTAAGACGCAGTATTTTGAAACACACTACTGGTATAAAAAATACACACCATGTACAGATGTTAAGGTATGCTCTGACAGCTGGATGTGGTGAGGCACACCTTTAATCTCAGCACTCAGGAGGCAGAAGCAGATAGGTCTCCATGAGTTCGAGGTCAGCCTGGTCTATATAGTGAGTTCTAGGACAGCCAGGGCTAAATAGAGAGACCTTATCTCAAAATTAAAAAAGAAAAAAAAAAAAGCATTCTGATTTCAAGGACACAAAAATGTGGCAAAATGTTCTTGTACCAGTGGATGAACCATGGTGGTTTGAGACTGGCTGAAAGTGAAGAACCTGGGTGCTCCTCCGGGAGACCGGCAATGATGGCCTAGCTCAGGACAGGATCTGTCCTAATATACAGATGTGATCTTGGTACATCACAGCCCAAATTGCAGGAGCCTGGGCAAGGCCCTAAACACTGGACACCCAATCTCCTTTTCTATTAGTGAGAGTCTCGCACTGCACCGTGTTCCAGAGGGGATGTGTGAGGTACTGAGAGCACACACGACGGTCCTACACCCTGGAGACACTAGCCCCCTTTACCGACCCCCTTTGGGTGAAGCCCTAATCCTTCCCCAGTTTGCGTGGCCAGAGAGACAGTCTGGAGGTGCTTCATGTCATCTTAAACTGACCCTTTATCTGTGCCCCATAGCCACAGATGTTGTCTAGGGTGGGGTGGCCTGTCCAAGGTAGGCTTTTGTCTAATTTGACACATCGTCAACGTTTCCATCTAGGAGAGGGACAGTGACAGCCAGTATGACGGGTGCTGTATAGTGTTAGTCACTGAAGGCTTATCACCGACTGCACACAGGCCCTCGGGTGCCAAAATACTGTTTGCAGACCAGTCCTGAAAAGCCTCTCCAGGTGGCACCGGTACCTACCAAAGGACATCAAAGCCACTGTTGGCAACCACTTGGCAAGGCATGTGGAGAGTGTGCAGGGGATCCACTAGTCCCAGGGTGGGTTTGATGGCGCGTGAAGCAATACCTAAAACATAAGGAATTTTCATATATTAAAGATGTGGCCCAGCTAGACACTGCTGGACCCTGCTGGCCCTCCTGGACATGGACTACATAGAAACTGACAGGAACTACAACCCGGGGCTTATTTCCTATTCAGTCTAAAATGTTGTTTACTAGCATACCACTGGCCTTTGTTCTACACCTGGCTATGTGACACTGGACAAGTCACTTAACCACTCAGAGTTATCCCAAGATTAGGCCTTACACAGGTGTACAGGAACACATGAACAGACACACACACACACACACACACACACAAACACACACACACACACACACACACACACATCATAACAATACTTGAAGCTATAAGAATATGATTAGATAATATGTACATAAGTCTTTTAAAAACCGTAAGGCTGAATTTAAACATTGCTTGTTTTTGTTTTTGTTAATGTCAAGGGTCATGTAATTTAATGAAGATGAAGTTACTCTAAATGTGTAGTTGAATGTCAGCTTAGTTTGCTACAAACTAAAAAGGCTGGAAGAAGTATATTGAGTCAAATTCAAAGAGAGGGTCATTGCTACCACAGCAGCCAAGGGTCCAGGGGTAGCCCCAATGACTAGAGGACAGAAAATAGGACAGAAGTGACCTGGGGATGGGTCTGTAGGGCCTGGCTGGGGTGGAACCTGAGCAACTTTGTGGTGTTACGGGGATGTCTAGAACCTTGATTGGCCATGTGCATTTGTTAAAACCCACCAAGTAGACTCTTGAAAAGTATGCATCTTATTGTATAAAGTCATGTTTTGATAAATTGATTTCAAATGTTAAAAAATGTCAAAGAGTAAGCCGGGCGGTGGTGGCGCACGCCTTTAATCCCAGCACTCGGGAGGCAGAGCCAGGCGGATCTCTGTGAGTTCGAGGCCAGCCTGGTCTCCAAAGTGAGTTCCAGGAAAGGCGCAAAGCTACACAGAGAAACCCTGTCTCGAAAAACCAAAAAAAAAAAATGTCAAAGAGTGGAATGAATACCCACTTCTCCTAGATCCCACCGCTGACATGGGCAGGAGAATGGCCTATTAAAATTCATGGATTCAGGGCCGGTGAGAGGACTCCATGGCTAAGAGCAATCATTGCTCTTTCAAAGGACCTAAATCAGGTTCCCAGCACCCAGTCAAGTGGCTCCCTTCTGCCTGTAACTCCAGTTCCGGGGCATCTGACACCTTCCAGCCTCCAAAGGCATTCCCACAGCAGTGGAATACATTTACACATACACATAAATAAAAAAAATATATAAAAAGAGATGCATGGCATTTTGATAGACTTTTCAGGTAATTCTCAACAAGAAGCTTACCAGCCTATTTTTATATACACTTGGGAAGAGAAAACGTGTGTTTGAGTTCCCTTAATTCCTTGATTTCTAAATAATGACACCAAAGACAAGGGGGTGAGGTAGAAAGGTAAGAGAGGGCTGGAGAGATAGCTCAGTGGTTAAGTGCACTGACTGTCCTTCCAGAGGACCTGAGTTCAATTCCCAGCACCCACATGGTGGCTCACAACCACATGTATTGAGATCTAGTGCCCTCTTCTGGCCTGCAGGCCTACATGTAGGCAGAATACTGAAATACATATTTTATACACAATAAATAAATAAATCTTAAAAAAAAGAAAGGCGGGCTGGAGAGATGGCTCAGCGGTTAAGAGCACTGGCTGTTCTTCCAGAGGTCCTGAGTTCAATTCCCAGCAACCACATGGTGGCTCACAACCATCTGTAATGAGATCTGGTGCCCTCTTCTGGCCTGCAGGCATACACGCAGGCAGAACATTGTATACATAATTAATAAATAAATCTAAAAAAAAAAAAAAAAAAAAAAAAAAAAAAAAAAAAGAAAGGCGAGAGAGAGAATTTTGAAAGAATTATGAATAAAATTCTTACCAGTTTTTACTTTCAACTGTTCATAGTCAAAAATGGCAACCCCTGTAGTCTCGCTGCCAGTTCCTGAGGTAGTTGGAACTTGAACAAAACAATATTAATATTAGATTAATATTCAATTCCACCTCAGAAATAAGAAGCAAAGACAGAAAGGAAGCATTGCTGACCTCACTGTTTGTCTGGCATCTGTATAACATATACACTAAGGAGTCATGTGATGTCCATGCTTGCTTATTAATACACATGTGTGTTCTCATCAGCATGTTATATCTGTGGCTATGTTAGCATGCATGTATGCAGTCTGTATCTGTGCTTGCATATATATATGTTTAACATACATTATGATGTTTGAGTGTACATGCATGCTTAAAATGTATATCATATCTATCTGTATTAACATGTGGTCCGTTTAACATTTACATGGCTTCTACATCTGTTAACATAATATAACATGGCTTCACTAACATGTACGTATGGTTCACATGCATGTGTGTTTAATATGCATACTATCTGTATATGTACAAATGTGTTTTGAGAATTTATATTGAACATATAATAAAGTGATATACATGTATGGTTAACATGCATGCTGTCTGTATCTGTGCAAACAGGTTTATACATATGTTGTCTATGTCTGCACTAACATGAAACTGTGTTAAATATATGATCTCTGTTGCAACATGCATGTATGATATCTATGTCAGTATTAACATGTGTATGTTAATCATACCTGTGTGGGAAATCCGTGCCACACTAACAGCGAGGAGCTCTGGGAAGCTTGGTTCTCTAGAGCCAGAGATGGAGCTGCCCAGCACCCCTGGCAGGAGCGCTCACACATCCTGTCTCTAAAAGACATCTTTATTCCCCCTTGGCAACAGGCACAGGGGCGAGTCGCTTTTGCTGGGCCCTGTGGTTTTGTAGCGCTGTCAAGTTTCTAAACTTTACTAATCACCTCTCTGTGTGACGCCGACATGGTTTCACCAGTGCCTTCCATTCGCAGACTCCAATTACGCTGCTCCCTGCTGATGCCTCATTCATGTCACAGCAGCTCATCTGCCATCGACCCCCTCAAGTCCCTGCTGTGGCTGTTTACCCTGGGGCAGAAGGGAGAGCAGAACCTAACCGTTCCCCTGTTCCCAGTTACTGTGTTTTAACAGCAGAACTTCCGTGAGCAGTGCGCTAACGGCTGTAGAAAAGAGAGGGAAGAAAAGTCTAGAACATCCCAAGGCCCCCCATGTGGAGCACTCAAGATACTTTTGATATGGATTTGTGCACGGGGCACATGCGCATGCTGGCCACATGTCCCAGGGAAGACACCAAGCTCCAGGTCAGCTGGAGAGCCATCATGTGGAAGAAAGGCTTGAGTCATTGAGAGAAAACACCAATTGTTCTCCCCAAGCTCTGCGGTGTCTGGGAGATGAGACCAAGCAGATGGGTCTGGGGACCAGGCTGCCAACAGAGGGACCTACCAAGTGTCAACCAGGATCCCTCCTCCTCCACGCAGCGACACCACAGCCAGCCTGACACTGTAAGCCTCCTCCCACTGAACCAAATCGTCGCTGTGTGCAATGACGGACGCCAGAGTTTTCAAATAAGTAAACTGCTGCCTGCTTTGTTCTCTAGTTAATGCATTGGTTTGAAATGAACAAAGCAGAGGTTCTGGAAATGTAACTTTGAAAGGAACAGCTGGCAGAGCAGCACAGTACCCAAGGCCTTCTTCTTCTTCTTTTGCCAGTTGTAGAATGAAGCAAATGAGCGGAGTGTTTACCTGCAATCAGAGGTTTCAGAGGTACAGTCACCGGCTTCCCCTTCCCAATGGGGGCGTTGACGTAATCCAGGAACTCAGAGTCGGGGCTGCACGCATACAGATTGGCAGCTTTACAGGTGTCCATGGTGGAGCCCCCACCCACAGCCACATAGGCATCAAAGGCTCCCTTTTTGGCAAATTCAATCGCATCCATGAAGCTTAGAGAACAGAAAACAAAAGAGCATTACACTATATTTAAAAAAAAAAAAATACACCATCATGCTGTTAAGTAAGGCCTGGGACAAATTTCCAATGCAGTCATTTTTGTTGGCTTCTGCTTAAGTAACTATCAAGCACACTAAGACCTTACCTTCTATCTGTGGGCTCCACCCTCACGTCATCATAAACCTGAAAGCTGATGCCATTCTTCACTAGGGAATCCATAACTATTTGTACAGGAGGGAGCTGGGAGAGGTTCTTGTCTGTCATCAAGCAAACATTCTTAGCTCCCATATTCTGCAGATCCTATAATAAAAATGAACTCAGTGTTACTGACTACAACAACACTGGGCAAGTTTAATGCGATCTTTAAGAAGAACAAAGGATTCGATTGTTGTCCATTAACGCTGGTGTTTACAAGACATAATGCTTGGAGGCTGCAGACGCCTCAAATACTTGCCATGCCCACTTCCTTCGTAACCCCTGCTCCATATCTAATGTTTGAAACAGCCATCTGAAACGAGAAAGAGATTCAGGTGTATTAGAGTTGGCCAGTGTATCTCTGAAAACCAGAGGTGATGCCTCGTTGTTTAGAGAATCAATTATATGCTCTGCAGCACCGGCCTCTAGCTCTCCCGCCTCCTGGCTTCCCACTTCTTTGAGCAAGCTGTGGCTCCAGATGTACTGAAATTAAGCATTTGTCTTTCCCCAATACCCAACAAATTCCCATTGTTTCTTCAGCTGTCAATGTCTGTCCTCCTGAACCCTCACATCGAAATTAACTCTCAAATTTCTTACTTTCCAATTTAACTGTCTGTTCTGCAGCTTTTACCCCTTTATTTATCTAGCCCTCGTGTGCATCTGTACACGTCCATGTAGCCTCCCACCCACCAACACCACCGAGAGGTGCTCTGTTGAAGGCCTCCTGCTGGACACTAATGAAACCAGAGAAGCACGGGGTTCTGAGTTTACACACAAAAGCAGAGCCTTCACACTCACGCACACAGGCCACTTTTCAATTCAAGAATGAAACAAAACAGCCATGGTTTGCTGATTCATGTTATAAAACTCTTTAAAATGAGGATTTAAACAATCCAGGAGGGTCACCTGGATCTCTGTCACCCTCAAATGATCTAGAAACCACCACACATTTTTCAAGTCTCAGCAATCATGAGGGGCTGAGTGGAGACTGGGCCTTCAGAAGTGGCTTGGGTTGTCAGAGGGCCCCCAGTGAACTAATTTATCACTCTAAACTAGGGGGCCAGGGAATTAAACAAACAATTAAAGTAATTACGTAATTAGTATGACACTTTACTCTTCTTCCAAAAGATGACTTCTTTTGTTAAGTAAGGCCCGGGGCAAATTTTCAGAGACTCATGTACAGCACATAGAATTCGGAGTCTGTAGAACTGGGAGTTTGTCATATTTAACAGCTACGTAAAGGACAGCGTTTTGAACATTCTTCCTGTTTCCAGACTACATCCTACCATTGTACACATTGCTGCCCAGCGCCTGATCGGAATGAGACTGCACAACACCAGTTAACAACAGAGTTCAAACGAAACACTAACGCATCAGCAAATTCTGTGTGCCACCCATAAAAGAAAGAATGAGTCGATGAAATCTACCTCAAATGCATATTCTGTCGTTTTTCCAGAAGGTGAGAGTCCGGGGGCTGGAAGTGCAGAGAGTAACATCAGAGCATGCACCAAAAAATAAGCCCAAATAATAGTTTTTTTGATAATAAAATCCAGCAGTGAACATAAACATCTTCCTAAAACCTTACCTCAAAGCACACCTTTTTGGCATTTCATGGTTGTACATAAAATATAGATCAATATTTACAAAAAAGTGCTGAAAACCGATTTCTAAAATTTCTGTATAAAGCTAGTTGTTATTTGGGGGCAATAAGGGGCCATCAATACATTTAATATTTAAAAAAGTTATTGTTGTGTGTGCATGATGCCTGTGTGTATGGCAGCAGTGCGTACCACAGCAAGCATGTGGAGGTCAGAGGGCAATTTTGTGGAGTTGATCCCTGTGCGTGCCAATTCTGGGGCCCCAGCTCAGGTCACTGGGTTTACATGGTTAAATGTCCTCATCACTGAACCACCTTCCTGGATGCTTATCTTTCCTTTTAATCTACTCATCTATAATCAGTTCTGGTCAGCCTCAAGATCAAGGGAAGCCAACAGCATCACGTGCACTGCCCAGTTTTTGCTGTTTATGAGACCAGAACTAGACGACACCACCGCCATGTTGTTCCCTGAGGGCAAAGGCATCATCCTATCCAAAGCCAACTTTCTCTGACTCCTCTAAGCCTCCGCAGACATTCTTGCTGTAGTGTTTCTGCTTCTGCTGCTGAAGTTCAGGCCAAACAGTACGTTGGAGTTCTCTCTTTCTAAGCCATTCCCCAAGCAGAAAAAAGCCAAAAAAGTTTAGCACAAAAGAAAATTCTGCCTGTTTTCCCAAGGGCCTTAAAGGCTGGTTCCACTTCATGGCTGGTGGTTAGAGGCCCCATCTGCCCCAGGGGGTTGGGGGGGCACCTCTTCTGGAGCAGGAAAAGGCCTTGGCCACTGACCTCTCTCTTTTGCTCCTCATCAGGCCTGCTGTGCCCTCCCTCTGCTCAGGAGCATGCATGGCTGACCTCTCTTTCCTTGCCTCTCTGTTCATAGCTTACCTCCTTCCAAGAAGAAAATTTATAATTCATGTGTCAATAATTCATGTGACGTCCTGGGGACAGGCTAAAGCTACCGTGAACTATTAGAGTCCACCGGGTCTGACAAGGATTAAGGTGGTGGGAGCTGAAAACTTTTGTTATTATTATTATTATTATTATTTTTTTTTTGGTTTTTCGAGACAGGGTTTCTCTGTGTAGCTTTGCGCCTTTTCCTGGAACTCACTTGGTAGCCCAGGCTGGCCTCGAACTCACAGAGATCCGCCTGGCTCTGCCTCCCGAGTGCTAGGATTAAAGGCGTGCGCCACCACCACCCGGCCTTTTGTTATTATTTTTAATTGTTGAGAAATGAATTATTTTTAAAATGTATATAGGCCAGATTTTTTCTTCTAGCAATCACCTTACTTTAGCTTTTAGAGTTGTCTTTTAACCCAAAAGCCTTGTTCCTGAAGAATCTAAACATTCTTAAGTGTGTTTTCAGTTTTGAAAAATACTGTATTTTAAATTGGAAGCATGAATAGCATGAAATATCATGCACATAGTGAACGTGGCACACTCAGAACTTGTATTACCAGTTTCACAGTGAGAGACGCTATTTTCACCAGCCTACCTCCACGTGCCTTGATTTCCCTTTTCCACACTTGACTCTAATGTACCGCCCACGCTAGTGATAGGAAGCAAAACAGGCTGATGAAGTAACTCAGGATGCGTTACCTTGGGAGTAAGTATGAGAATGTGTTGGGCACTGGCATCTAGGGAAAAGAAAAAAGGAAAGCATAAATAGAAACCGGAACTTAAAAGTGAAAGCCTTAAAGTACTCTTACACCGCATTCTAGTCCTGAGACTGAACGGGGTCACAGCTGGCAGAGTGGCAAACAGAGGCAGCAGAAACTCCAAACTCAAGGTAACACCGGAGACAAAAGCCAGCCCACTACCGTCTTGTCAGCCCAGACAATCCTGTCGTGAGGGTATTTGTTCAAGCGATGTCTAGCAAGGCCTGCAGGCAGCCCTGGGAAGCATGTGGCGGGCACGCACTGATGGGGTCAGGGGCTTTGACTGAACCACGAGCCTCTTCCCACTCAGCTCTCAACCCTGGGAACTTTCTACGTGATCCTCCACATCTTCAAGGTATCCAGTTTATCTTCAAACTGACTCTGCACTTGAGCTCCCGGAAGCTCTCAGACCACTGGCCTCCCCGGTCAGCTCCTCACGTCCCACACTCCATCCTCTGTCGCAGCCCCAGGCTCTGTGAGCTGGTCCTGTCTCTATAGCACGCACACCAGCACATCCTCCTTCCTGAAGCCCTGCGTCCCTGCACTTTCCACATGTTCTTTCCTGGAGATTTCTCTTCCGTCCCTGCCACATCCGCTACTTCTTGGACAGTCCCTCCTGGCTTCAATTTCTCCTGTTCATTTGTTTCTCTTTATGGCTCACAGGACCTTGCCACAGCGGGGTGTCGGCAAATACTTGACTGCATAGCCTCCTCCCCACCGCGCCAAAATTCAAATCTGGAGTTAAATCACCCAAGGAGGGGAAAGGTGAAGGAGGGAAAGGGGGGTTACTACTCCCATGGCTCTCAGGATCGCAGAACTTCCCGGGGTCCAGACAAATTATAAAGCAAGGCTGCCATCTAGTGGCCACCTGCTTCCTGCAGGGGGCAGGAAAGTGGCCAGGCCCAGGCCAAGCCTACAGCTAGCTCTTCCCTGCATTCAACCTTCTAAGGACGAGAAGTGAAGGGAAAAAAGAAACACAAAATCAGTGCTGGGGACATGGCTGCCTCTTAGCGCTATTCGTGTTATTTTAAGTTCTAAGACTAATGAACTCACTTGTAGCCCTTAGCTGAGGTTCCTGCTTGGTCCTCTCTTCCTTCTGAGGTTGCCCACCTGTGTTGATTTCCTCAGCTCCCTCCTCACTGTCCTTCCTGTCCTATGAAGAGATTCATGCTGAAACCCCCAGGCTTGTTCATCCGTTGGTTCTCCCCCGGCATACATTTACAGGCTGTTTCCTTCCACCCAGCACACTCCTTGGTCCCTGAAATTAAGTCACAGCTTCCAGTGTGGATCCTTACTTTGTTACTGGAGCCTTTCACAGAGGAGTGTGAGCTGAGCTCTGGCAGTCTTAACCAGGCTCAGTTGCTTGTCCTCAATAGGCCAATGAGAGTCAAGAAAGTCAAAGGCAGAGAGAGATTCATTCAATGGGACAGCACTGGAAAGGGGTCTCCAGTGATCCCCCAAATTCATCATCCAGAATCCTGATATAGGGTGTAGGTTTAAATGGAGGGGCGGAGAGACGGCTCATCAGTTAAGAGCATGTACAGCTCTTCCAGAGGATCCTGGTGGGCAGGTCGCACTTTCTTTGGGTTCCAAGATTCCCTGCTGTCACTTCTGTGACCTGGGCGGTCCCTTCGGCTCCTTCCTCACTCCGCCACCCCTTACACATTCTGTTCGCTCCTGGGCTGCCTTCAGCCATCTGACCCTTCTTTCTCCCTTAAGCTTTACAGTCTCTCGTACCAAGGCCCCCGACAGTTCTCCACTCACCTCTCAGCCTTGGCCACGGTCTGCTCCACTGTCATTTCTCATTTAGATGTTCACTAGTTTCCAAAGTGGCTTCTGGGCTGCACCTTTGTAGCTCTAGACCCCAATGTGGTCGGGGGTGGCGTGTTTCCCAATGACCCCATTCCTTCAAAGCTGCTTCCGGGGCAAATAAAGTGCAGACCCAGCCCTGCCCACTTGGCTCCTCATCTCTGGCTTTCTCCTCATCTCTTGGCTTGTTCAGCTCTGGGTTTTAGCTCCTGAAAAATGAACCATCTCTCCTTTCTCCTCACTTCACTCCCTCCCACATCAGGAACTTTGCCCTAGTTATTTCCCTGCTTGGAATTCACCTTCCTTTTCTTCCCATCTCTTTTCTTCTAGATAAGTGTGTTCTCTCCTGTCCGTTCTGGGGTCGTCTTCTGAGGCCCCAGGGAGGAACCCTTTCTCTGTGGCCTGATGGGCTGCACTTCCAGAGGACTTGGCTTTGATTCCCAGCACCCACAAGCTGGCTCACAACCCTCTGTAACTTCAGGTCCAGGGAATCAAATGCCCTCTTTATCCTCTCCAGGCACACGAGATGCACAGACACACAACCAGGCAAGCAAGACACCCATATACGTAAGATCCCCTGCTTCAAAACTCATCCCCCATTTCCTTTTCCACTCCACTTCCCACTGGCATCAGAGTGTGCTGACGTAACTGCATCTCATGCGGTTGTTCCAAACATGTTCTGGGTGACATTGGTTCTAAGGGATATGTTTATTATTACTAAGTATGAATGCACAGGTTTACACAAAAGAATGCACTTATTCCTATTGCAGGACTCCTCAAAGCACTTTACATATCAACACAGATGTCAATACAGTAAGTAGCTCCCCACATTTATTTGGCCATGGAATTATTGTATCACTGGGCACCTTGATAAGCGAGGCATGTGGCTTTAGGAGCTTTCTGTTATTCATAGAACATAACTTACCATTTTACCATAGGCCGGGGGAACAAGGATCGCAAAGCCAAAGTTCAACCTATGGCTGTGCCATTGCTTAGCCATGGGGCACTGAACACATTATTTTCATGTTTTTCCTTATGCTAGAGGGTAGTATGCCGGAGTTATCAGAAAGCTTATTTCTGCTTCCAACAGTTCATGTGCAATGTATACTACCTAGTATGCACCAGCTGTTTTCCTTCCGTGTCTCAGTCCTTACTGCCTCCTAGGAAGGCCGGCTCAGACTCCACTTTTGGGCCCTGAACTGCAACAGTCCCTCTCTGGTGTGGCTCTTCCCTCTGCCAGAACTGCTCCCCAGTCCCTCTCCTTTCCCGTCTCCCAGGACCGTGGACTTTCACACTTTCTTACTCACGCGCTCAGCCTTTCTGGAGGGAATCAGGTCAGGGAGGGTAACTGTGGTCTTTTCCCTTTTGGAGCTCATCTGCTGAGATAAGCTACAGGTGTCTATGCCCTTAACTAGATCCCTAAGTTGCCGGTGCTTTCCAGCCTTCCGTTGTTGTATGCTCAGAGAAGAGCGGCCTTTGCACACAGATCCAGTACACACGCGTTGCTTTGATGTTAATTGTCTCAGCCACAGAGCCAAGTTCTACTCGCTTGTCACACTGCGTGGGACCAGGCCGGCTTCTCTGGGAATGTTTCTCTAACGCTAGCTGTGCCACACTGTTCCAACCCGTCTTACCACGGTTTCAGGCCCTGCACCGCCCACTGCGTACTGCGGTGCTGCTTTCCTGAATTCTGCAAGTATTCGGATTCCGACTGCCTGCCCGGATGGGCGCACACAGGGGTGGCCCAGCACCGTGGCATCCTTGGCGCCGCCTGTACTCACGCTGTGCTTTGCAGGTGCCTCAGCAAGTGTGTGACCCGAGCGCGTGCAGCTGCAGCCATGGCAGGTCTCCTTGGCCTCTGCCTGCTCCACCCCCACGGCCGGCCAATCCTGGCGGCTGGACACCAAGAGGCAAACTTCTGTCTCTAACTGGCTCTGCAACGTCACCTGACCCAGCTTTAGCCCATTTTCCAGGAATCAGAGCCAGGCCAAGCGACCCAGCTGCCAACTCAGAAACTGCCTCAAGACTCCACAGGGCTTTGTGTACATTTTAAAACCAGAGCTGTGTCTCAAAAAAAAGCCTACAGCCGACCAATCAAAGCAAGTCTTTGAAAGTTAAGTTCTCTGTGAACAGTCTTGGTTTTGAGAAAGTTCTCAAGATGAATACTTAGAACTGTGAACCAGCAGGGCTCCGCAGCCAGTGGAAGGGGTCTCTAAAGATGGCCAAGTCCAAGGAACTTTGTTAGACCATTATCCAAAGCCAGTAACAACTGAGTATTATGATTTGAGCTTTCCTTGCATTTTCTAAAGTAACCTTATAAATATGAAACATAAAAAAGTATGGACAGCCCAACTCCCAGTTCCAAACCTGCTGTCAACTGATAGATAAAAAGAGCAGGGTGGTGGCCACTCGATTTACAGAAAACACGCCTCCCTCAATCCTGGATTTGCTATTAATAATTTTCAGGACATATTTATGCAAAGACAAGTTTATTAAGATCAAAATAAGACTGATAATGGAAAACACCCAGGACAGCAATAACCATGAAATCTCCTGCTGGGTGTGCCCGCTCATTTATAACATCAGCACTTGGGGGACAGAGCCACAAGGCCTCAAGTTCCAGGTCAGCCCAGGCCACATAGTCAATTCCAGGCCAGCACAGGCTAAAAACTAAAACCCAAGTCAGTTAAACAAAAACCACCGGTTATAAACAAAATGACAAGTATTTTCTGGAGTAACAAGGTTAATTATCATTATTTACTACATGCTTTACAAATTACCATGTAAAGCAACATGTTCATTTGGCCAAACGCATCACCTTCACAAACATCAGTGTACTATGCTTTTAATACTATAGTTAGTGCCAAAAGAACTTCGGAGTTTTCCGAATACAAGTGGCCATCCTGTAACCATTGTAACTACTTTGTGTTTTTTCCAGCACACGCTATGTTGGCACCCAGGTCATCGGCTTCACGTACATCTACCGACAATAAAAGTTAAAAGGGACTCCAGGTACGGACATACTTTTATTAAGTAGCCTTTACAACACTTGTAAACCACAGGTAGACTTGGTTTTTCTGCCTGCTTTGATAAATACACAAGCTCTGTTACAAAAATAATGCAAAAATGTTGACACCAATCTACTATGCCCCAGAAATCTGATCAACTCTTACCGAGTATCCAAAGTCAAGATAAAAAAAAGCAGGCGGTTAACTTACTCCTGATTCTGACCACATTATTTCTCTAATTCTCATGTTCTCAAAATATGCCCTTAATTTCCAGCCAGTGTCTCTGTTGTGGGGAAGAGATTATTCGTAGTTCAGCACCGACTCTCCTGAGGGGAGGCAAACCGGTCCCTTTAATCTCCAATGGGGGCAGCGGCCACCCCTGCACCAGCCTGCAGTGCACACAACTTAACCCTTAGTTCAGACAGGCCTCGCTTTGCAGAACAGGTCCAGGGGGGAGAATACTACTTCCTCCTCTTCCCACCTTGGTGCGGCACTCCTTTCTTCTTGCCGCCGAAAGCCGGAGGCCTGGAATGCTTCTTGCCTCCCAAGCCTCCTTTCCTCTTCTCTCCCTGGCCCGGCGGTCCACCTTTCCTCCTGCTCGAAGGTCCCTGCCGGCCCCCCTTTTTCTGGCCCATTTTCCTCCTCTTTGCGGCCTCTTCTTGGTCCTCCTCCCTCATCTGCTTGTTGGTGGCCCTCGTCACGTCCAGCTGAGGTTTCTTGCTGTTCATGACTCGAAGTAGCTCCAACTGGTTCTTCTTCTCGGCTGCAAAGTCCCCAAAGAGGGGCTGAAACTTCCTCTTCTTGCCGGTGCCCCGGGGCGCCTTCTCCTTGGGGAGGCGCTCCTGGAAGCGCCCCACCGAAGCGGTGGAGACCTTGGCCACTTGCATGGCGCGACCCAGCTCCTCCTTACTCTGGTGTCCCGTGGGGTGCAGGCCGGCTGCGCTGGGCATCTGCGTCTTGTGCGCTCGGGCCAGGTTCCGCAGCCGGTTCAGCTCGTTCTTGGCCACGCGCTCCTTCTTGGCCTGAATCCGCTTGGCGAACTGGTCTTCCATGGGGTCGGCGCCCCCAGGCACCTCGATCAGCCATTCCTTGGTGTCGTCCCGGGCTCGCTTGTAGCCCCAGCGGCGCCGCCACTGGCCACTCACCTCGTCCCACACGAGGTTGGTCTTCTTCTTGGGACGGATGCCCTTCAGGCGCGCGAACTGCTGCCAGCGGGTGAGCGGCCGCGGCCGGGGCAGCGGCTTCTCGCGGGGCAGGCGGGTGACGGGCTCCGGCAGGCGCGCCACCACCGCCTCCTCCACGCGCTCGGTCGGCAGCTGCCACAGCTGGTTGATGAGCAGCTGCGTGTTGTCCCGCGCCAGGGCCCGCAGCTCGGCCTCGGGCGAGGGTCCGGCCTGGCGCAGCACCGTCGGGGGGTTGCGGTCCGAAGCCAGCAGGTTGCCCAGGTCGAACTCCAGCTCCAGCTCCTTGTGCACCGTGATGCGCCGCAGCTTCTCCGCCTCCTCCTGCTCCGCCTTGGCCAGCAGCTCCTCCACGCTCTGGCCTTCCATGGCTCCCCGCTTCCCAACTTGGGGCAGCAGCAGAAAGTAACTCCACTACAGCAGCGCCTAAGTAACCGGCAAGCACGTGCGGACGTCCGGACTCGTAATCCGGAAGACCAATGTTCACTTCCGGGTTACCCGGAACCGGCTCACGGTTGGGCGGCTAGGGAAAGGCCGGCAGGGGGCGGCATTGGAGAGCTGATGGGTTTAGAGGCGGGACCTGGGCTCGTAACCGGATGTGGACCGGACTGGCGCTGGGGGTTCGTTGCTTGAAGACTAATAGGCTCTGGGCCCGGCTGGGACTACGTTTCCCAGCATGCTGCGGGGCAGGGGCGGTCGCTGTAGGACGCGGGCTGCTCAAACTCCTGGGGTTGCAGGAATCGTAGCTTCGGGATGGAGCGTGCTTAACACTGTCTGCGGATGAAAGTATTACAAAGGTGTTTGACTAATCATCTCTTCCTGGGGCGAGACAGGTTTTCTCCCCAGAGTTATTACCCGTTCTCTGTGTTCAAGGTGTGAGCGGAGACAGATCCCACGAATATACTTAAAGGCAGGTAGGTATAGAAGATTTTTTTGTGATTTAGCAGGCTGGCAGTTAGGCTGTGTGGAGTGGTGCGAACGTCCACGGACCCCAGGTTGCCGAGGACTCGCACTCTTCTCTGGGCAGAACGCTGAACTTTGCAGGTTTCATGGCCTGGGCTCCGATTCTGGCTGTGCTACTGTTTGATCCTAGGATATTTATTTAGGCCTGAAAATCATGAAAGATGGAGTCTCTGATAGTACTTCCTATCCAGGACTACTTTAAAGGCAAATGTGTTGATAAGCTTTAAAGAAGGTTTACGAGTCAGTGAAAACCAAATGGCAGTTTTTATTCAGTAGGAAGTTGAGGCGGTGTTATATAGCCTGTCTCAGTTTACTGTTTACTGCCATTGACTTTGATAGGTTGATTTACCTCAGTCCTGTCCATACGCTGGTAAATATGAAAACTTAATTAGTCACAGGCGCACAGGAAGGGCTCAGATGAGATCTGCTGTCGTTTCCACTAAATCTGGCCAAAGCAAACTTTTGCATATGACAGAATCATGGTTATTCTTGGTCCTGTATGCTTATCATCTGGCTTCAAGTCACTCTGAAAAATTCTGTCAGAACAGTCCTCTTCAGACTTGCTTCTAACCCCACTCTTTCCATTTCAGCTATCTCCAGAGCTTCAGGAATTTTCCTCAAGAAAGCCAAAACGAGATGCAGGGCAGAAAGAGCAGCTCTTAAGAGTTTCGTGACAGCTTTGTGAAATTTCTCATGCACAGATGTGAAGAGAGGTTTTCTGTTTTTTGTTCCAACCTCACCCCAAAGAGGGACAAGAGGGCTAAAGACCTAAAATTAATACCTTTCGCTGGCTCTCAATTGGTCAGTACAACTAGCTCTTAAGGCAATTCATCAGTCTTGACTCTCCCATTAACTTAGATCTACTTCCTTTTTAAAGCATTAAACTAAGTAATTTATTTGTTGTGTATATGGGCATATGTGTGCTGTTGCACATATGTGGAGGTCAGAGGACAATTTGCTTTGGGTGCTGGGAATTGAACTCAGGTTGTCAAATTTGGCAGCAAGTGCCTTTACCCAGTAAGCCATCTTGTTAGTCCTTGCTTTTTCAATGCCGATCAGTTTTCTCGCTTTTTGATGGGGGGAATTGTTAAGGATGATCCAGCCAGTTTTCAATTCTGCAGTGAACATTGTTTTTTTTTTTTTTTTTCTCTCTGAATATTTTTGTCCAAGAAATTCAGTATACCAGTTAATTTGATAAAATATTAGCTAAGGGCTCTTAAACTATTTAAATTGTTTCCACATGGCTCACTTTTACTGATTTGTAATTTTAAGTTGGAGGTACTTCAATGAAGAATTTTTTTAATTTTTTGTGCGTCCTGTGTGTATGCATGTGGGCATGTGTGTGTCTGTAGGCTATAGGACAGTGGTTCTCAATCTTCCTAATGTTGCGACCCTTTAATACATAGGACAGTGGTTCTCAACCTTCCTAATGCTGCAACCCTTTAATACATAGGACAGTGGTTCTCAACCTTCCTAATGCTGTGACCCTTTAATAGATAGGACAATGGTTCTCAATCTTCCTAAAGTCGTGACCCTTTAATACAATTCCTCGTGTTGTGGTGACCCCCCAACCATAAAATTATTTTCATTGCTACTTCATGACTGTACTTTTGCTACTGTTATGAATCATAATGTAAATATCTGTGTTTTCTGATGGTCTTAAGTGACCCCTGTGAAAGGGTCATTGGACCCCCAGAGGGATAATGACCCACATGTTGAGAACCACTACCTTAGGAGGGCACTGTTTTGTTCTGTGAGTTTCCACTTTATTCTTCTGAGACAGTATCTCTCACTGAACCTGGATCTACGCTAGTGACCAGCAGACCCTAGGATCCTCCTGTGCACGCCCCCCACAGCTCTGAGGTTACAGACACACACACAGCCACACTGACGTTTAAGTCAGGTCTGAGTATTTGGATTCAGGTGTTTATGTTTATACAGCAAATGCTCTTACCCATAAGCCATCTCTCTAGCCCTACTTTTGAAAAATTTCTTAATCATGACAAAATTTGCTTCAGTTTTAGTCAGAAACCTTACTAAAAATCCATTATTTTAAAAAGAAAACACAAAGGCATCTCTATCAGATTTTGTGTAGTTTGTGGAGAAGCAGAGAGAATAGCTTCCAAACACTGCACCTTTGTCTACAGGGAACTTTTAACACTGAAACTGAGTCTACTTGTTCTGCTGTCTGGAAAGGCTTAATAGTCTTTGTTTTCTAAAAATTGATCAATGAAGCTTTCTGCACTTGCCATACTCATCACCACCTGTAAGATGATTTTCTTTTTCATAAAACACCATATCCCAAGAGAATGAGATTTGTGTTTGCTTTGAGATACTACTCTTAGAAGGAGGTTAATTCATAGATGAGAGATTCATGTATAAAGAAAAGCTGTAGTTCTAGAATTTTAGAGGTATTTGTACTCAATGTAGCCAATAAGATAGAAAATTTAGGTCTACTTACTAAATAATTATTTTTAACTGCATTTAAATTTATGAAAACAAGATTGCAATGAGCAAGAAATCCTAACTGGTTATGGTAGTATGTTGATTATGTGTGCATGCAGGAGGATTCTGAATTTGAGGCTGGTCTCGGCTATATAGCTGTCTAACTAAATAAACAAATAGCCTTCGTGGTGTGTGTGTGTGTGTGAGAGAGAGAGAAAGAGAGAGAGAGAGAGAGAGAGAGAGAGAGAGAGAGAGAGAGAGAGAGAGAGAGAAAGAGAGAGAGAATCTTATTATGTAGCCC